CCAACGAACCCCCCCCCCCCCCCCCCCCCCCCGTGGTCCATCGTAAGGATGAGTAAACCTCTAACACCCTCCATTCCATCAATTTGCGCCCACTACCGCTCATATCTGTGGCGTGTCATTTGGTTCTGTGGCAGTCAACTAGTAACGACGACGAAGAAGAAGATGGTGCCGACGTGGACATACCCACCAGATTCGAGTTCGACCTCCAGATCGTGAGTGTCTGCTTGCTGTGTCGTGGTTGCTTGTTGCGTTGGATGTTTATGGTCCACGCGTTGTCTTCCGCGTGCTTCATTCATGCATGCCCACAGCACCGCGTTATGTTTCCGTGAGAAAAACTATTTAGATTATTATCGATCGCCAGCAGTGTCGTGGTTTCGATTTTTCTGTTTAACAGCAGTCGACGCCATCGAACAGTACCCGAGCTACGAAAAGTGTTGAGATTTTGTAAGCATTATGCTGCGATCTGGCTTGTCTGCACTACTGTACACCGCCCTCTTGAGGAAAGGAAACCAATCGTTCAGGCTCGAAGTACAGAACAGGCCCGGAGACAAGGAACGTCAAAATCGGTCCGAGGCTCAGTTTCTTATTTCATCGCCACTGTCGAGCACAGGTTGTCATGTAGAGTTTAGTGCAGGATCCACCGCTGAGCTGTTTCTCGGGCCTATTTTCTTATTTTTCGTAAGCATTTATTTTGAGTCTCTGTTTCTTGGACGAATTATTTCTTAACTACGAGCCCGTTCTGCATCACCGACATTTGCTTTTCGAAACCGTCAGTCGATGAATCAGTCATCTCACACACATACATACCAGTTTAGTACACAAGCTGGTATCGACCAGCTTGGCCCTCGTGTTCGCGGTGTGGAGGGAACGTTACAGTATCACGGCCGATTTCTGTCTTTTTCCTGAAGCAATCTCATGCCGTTGTGCGTTCATTCCACGGCCGGAAAACAAACATCTTCCCGCTATGTACGAGCCTCACGTGGAAAAATCCGGAACTATTTGTTTTCGTGTGTATCAATCGGACCGCCGTCTTTTCCGCCGAGGGTGCAGTCGGGTGTTGGAGCTCTGACGTTTTTCAAAGAGATGGAAAGGTGAAATACCTGAAGAAACAGGGGGATCTCGATCTCGATTCACGGACGAAACGACTGCTGTTTGTCGCTTACAATCTAAAGGAGACTGGGTTGAAACAACGTTAAACCCCAGAAGTTTCGAATGGGGACTTTGAGTTCCGTCTGTTGTATGTATCGGGATTCTCGACCAATACCACTGCACCGCACGTCCGAGCTGTGCGATGATCCACACAACTCGAGAAAACCATTGGACAACTTCCACATCTTCTTCCTCGTTCTGATCATTCTTCGCAGGAGGGAAATTACATCGACATGAACGTGCCACCTTCGACGGTTACCGCCTTGAGGATGCGCTTTCCCGCCGACAGGAGCTTCGTGTTTATGGTCGAGTACGACGGCATCGTAGAGGTGGGTTCGGGTTACGGGAGGTAGCATCGCATCCCTAAGCCTAACTTGTAGCGACGTGAGCTGGTAGTGTTGTGGATGGCGCGTGAGATCGTACGTCTGCATTGCCTGCCGCTGTTGTATGCAGCTGCCCAACTGCTGTGTCTTGTGTTGTGTAACCTTTTGTCTGATTCCGCGCTTATTCGGTACCTAGCTTTCGTGTCCAGGCGATAGATCTACGAAAATATCTAGCTGAAGTCCTCTATTCGTTCGTGACGCCTGATTCAGGCTGCTTGTTGTTGGTGTCCTTACGCTCGCTAGTAGCGTGTTGGTGCCAACTTTTCGCAGCCCACTTGGCCTTCCGCCGGCGATACCCGAACGTTAGTCGCGTTCTATGTTTTTTGCTGCCAGCCATGCAGTGGCACCCACAGTCTTATTCTCGCTGTGAGAGCTTTACGTTGAGCGTACAACCCCCGAAACAGCCGCTGTCACAGTAGTAGCAGCAACACGAGATGATTTCACAACAGCGCTCTGGCGCGTGACCCAACTGAACGACAACCGACGGGTGCCGGTAGGAGTTCACCAGCGCCGGGGGTCCGAAGACGTGGGAGACGTTCACTTTGTCGACCCCCGCGGAGGTGGATTTCGGCCTCGAGGTCGTCGCCGTGACCGGGCCGACGTTCGACCACATTCCGGACTACCCGGCTCTGAGGGTGGTTGACTTGCAGGTCGTCGGGGAACTCAGGAAAGAGCCGGGCTACATTGATGTGAGATGATGACAATTTGACAATGATGGTGAAGGGGGAGGAATGGCAACGGTCTCGTGGACAGGATGGTCAAAAGATGATGGCGAAAGAAAATGATCCGGGGGCAACCGAGGCGACTTCGGAGATGACGCGATCCACATTTTACTGGCTTGTCGTTATTTTCGAAAGAAGGACAAAAAACAGGGTGAGGCTCCTGTCTCCTCTTTTTATGAAACCCGCAAAGGTATCGCTTCATAGGTTGTAAGTTTCTTGTGTTGCTGTTGGGCGCAAGGAACGTTTCTGTTGGGCGCAAGGAACGTTTGCGATGTCGGGCGCTTGGGTGCCCAACGGTTGGACCCCGAAACGATTCAGCTCTTAGTTATTACCTACGAGCACGCATGAACCGTGGTGAGAGGGGCTACCTGTGCGCCGTGGGTTTGTGCAGGGGAACGGCAGCACTGTCCGTGTCGGATCCTACAAAATGCGACACAAAGCGGGAGAGGTCGGTCGATTTCACCCTTCGTTTGCCGGTGAACACTTGTATCAGGATGGATGGTCCCAGTACCTACCCGAGGATGAGGGCGGGTGTGCGCCGTGCATAAAATGGTTAGCTACTCGAAAGCTTGGGCGTGGAAGCCATCGCTGACCCTTCCCAAGCTTGTCGTGGGAAGTATAACGATGTAAAGCTGTGTTTGGCGTTCATGGGTTGCTCGCTCTTAGTCACCAGAACTTTCTCTAGAGTATTACCACCACCGACAACAACAACTACTACTACAACCCCGCCTTCGTGCCAACACATGCGTGTAGGTGGTGACGACGACGATCGAGACGTGGGGGGTGGTGCCCGACGTCATCGGCGAGGGAGTTTCGGAGCAGAAGACCGTGATGAAGGCGATTTGCGAAGCCAAGGGAAGCACCTTCGACGGCATCGACTGCGTCGGCGAGCTGGACGACTCCGAGGTTACGGTGAGAGAGGCCATCGCAATGATGTTTTTTCTTCTGCAGTCGTTGTGTTATTTCTGTTACTGTGGTGTGGCATACTGCGTCCAAGGTTTCCCGTTTAGAAGGCCGTAATCATCCCGTTAGACTAGTCAGCGCTGACTGTAGTCAATGAGCTGACTAGTCTATTGATTTGATTTCGGCTTCTAAGGCCAGCACCGCCTTTGCGTCTCATTGTTTCCACGCTACAAGCGTCATGGCGCTCACCCAAACGACGCGGGGAGGAGGACGGGCAGTGCTCCCAAAGTGTACCTACTTCATGCTATGTGTTCGGTGCGTGCCTTTTTGCACCCAATGTCCTTGGGACCCGATCCGTTATGGGACGGAGGGGGAAGAGGGTGGTCTCATGTAATCGGATGCCGTAGTCAGCAGACCGTTGACCTCGCATCCTTACGATGTCGGGACGGGGGGAAGGGGGGATTTTCACAGCCCGGACATCTCCGCGAAGGGAAGTTTATCGGGACATGCTAAGGTTTTGTGGAAACCGTCTCGTCGAGAGCTTGCCATAGACGCACTCGCGTTGGGTCTCGGTACGCATCATCTCCCCTCGCAATATGATGGACCCCCTATCTGGTTGTGAACATGGACCCCCTATCTCCCTTTCATGTGAGAATCCGACTACAGTACAAGTTGAAACCAGACCACACAACTCTCAGGGAGCTATGAAAAGAGGTTTTCAGAAGCCGACAGCAGCGTAAAGGGTCGTCGTTGCAATCATGACCAAAATGTCGATATTTCGAAGTTCGGGTTGGATGGGGGGGGGGGATACTCATGTGTTTTGCATGCCTTAGCGGTTAGACCATTGACCACGCGTCCTCGAGAGGACGGAGCATTGTTCCCACAGGACCGATCACCGATGGCCAATCGTTCCTTTCTACTTTGCCAAAGGTGGCTC